GCACACTGCAGGGCGCTCACTGCCGGATTTAACTCAGCCTGGCATCTCACAGTCCCTCAACCACTGTACCCTGCACTTAGACTGTGTGGCTGACTATGGAGCAAACCCAGGCACACAGAACAGTGGGAGTTCAGGCTGCCACCAACTATCCCACGGACAAAATGCCTGACTTCTCCTTTTCCATGATGATCTAGACCAAGGGGGAGGTACACCAGTTGGCTGCTGAGAAGGTATCTCAGGGGCAAGTGTGGAATATTAGTTTCTCCTTGCTGTATAATTCCCAGGATTTGGGGATTTTCTTGGCATCCCCTCATTGTTATTTATTTCCTCGTAGAGCAATAACTGCAGTTAGGACAATGTGGCTTTCTTACCATTCCCCTTTCCAATGCTTTCTCTTTAGCAATGGAGGGGCAAGTGTGCGATAGCAGAAAGTGCCCTAGTATCCTTTAGTAGCCCACCAAAAGGAGGTTGCCCATAGTTTCCTGCAAGCTGCCCTCAGATAGTGAACTTTGTAGGCTTTCATCTTCCACCTCACTGAGATTTAAATATATACTCTGAGACCCTAGGAGATGTCCTTAGTGTCTCTTGGGGTCTGGTATCATGCCACTCTCCATTGAGTAAAATAACTTCTAGTAATACAATTATTTTTGTCAGAGTCAGACTTCTGAGCCCAGAGACACATTTCTATTCCCCAATTTGAAAAGAAAATTCCAGCAGCGAGGAATTCTTTGTATTCTTTTTCATCTTTAATGATTTGATGTCTCACCATGGAACTCTGTCTTCAGCAAAGGGGTCACAAAGGTCAGACCTGGCAGCTTTGAGCCTTGAGCCACAAGCTCTTGGGGGCTACTCTGGTAAAAAAAGATGTCTCACTCAGTGTTTAGGGCTATGTAGCCAGACTTTGGGGTTCTTTTCACTACCTCCCTATACAACCTCCATCCCTTCTAGCCACCTCCAATGCTAGGTAGAAGAGAAAGAAAAGGGTGCATTGATATCATTAGACTACTTCCTGCTGAGAAGGGGCATCAAGTTCCCAGGGGCCAGTTTGATCTTTATAGTCAGGATATCTCCAACCAGCAACTAGCAATTCACCAACCAGCAACAGAAGCAACAGCAAGAGCAGACAGAGGCAGCGGCAGCAGCCAAGGTCCCTCTCCAGGAGGCTCTAGCATTTATCAAGAGTCCCCAGAATCTCAAACATAAACTGTCCTCAGCTGGTAAAATCATGCCCCTGCCAGAGCATAAGACAAATCATAGTCAGCTGCTGTGGACAATCTGAAGCAGCCCCATATCCCACACCTGGGATTAAAACAAAATCACAGTCCCATAACATTTCTGTGTTTTTAAAGAAACCCAAAATTCTCAGTACAGGGCTGTTGATTACTGTCTGTGTACACAGCCACAGCAAGAGAGGGCAAGGCCAATGAGCCCTCCTGGTGACACAGTGACATCCCAAAGCTTGAAATCTGGACTCATGAGTGTGAAAGCGGAGACTGTCTACTCCCTTGCATCCTCACAACCGTGTTCAGGAGCGAGCACTGGGTGTCCCTGAGTGAAAATGCAGGGGGAGAGGTTAAAAACAAAGAACAAACATTCAGACCCCCACAGCATTTTTTAAAGGAACTTCTTAGGCTCCTCTTTCCAACCTGGGTTCATACTCTTGACTTAAAGGCCTGTAATAAGGCTTCTCCCACAGCTCTGAGAAGTTGTCATCTGTTTATAAACACACACACACACACACACACACACACACACACAGATGTTGAAATGTTCTGTTGTGGGAACAGGACAAACACATTGTGACAGAAGTTCCCCGAAGCTTTGTTCTCTCCTGTTTTCAGTTTCCATGAATAGTCAGCTCTCTGGATGCTTCTCAGTCTGTGCTAGCACCCTCTTATTTCTCTAATGGCTTGTTTGTTCAAAAAATGCGGCGGCTGTTGCCAGAAGAGATAAAACTTGGCATTTCACTAACATGATTACAGCAGACTAAAAATCAACAGCCATCAAGCAGGTATGTGACGAAGAGCGCATATTGAAAGATGCTCCAACCTGAGGTTTGAAAGATAAAAGAGATTTTTAGGGCTTGAAGAGATGGCACAGAAGTTAAGAGCACTGGCTGTTCTTACAGAGGACCCAGGTTCAGTTCCCGGATTCCCACGTAGTGGCTCACAGCCATCTGTAACTCCAGTTCCCGGGGATTTAATTCCTTCTTCTGGCCTCTGTGGGTACTGCATGCACATAACACGCTCTCTCTCTCTCTCTCTCTCTCTCTCTCTATCTATCTATCTCTCTCTCTCTCACACAGTAAAAACACATACAAATTAAAAATGAATGAGTCTTTTAAAAATAAGTATTTTAAAAATGTTTCAAGTCATTAATCAACAAGTACCAATTGATGATGTTATCTATAACTGAAGTTAAGTTAGAGTTTTAATGATGCTCTTCACTTCTTCACAGTCCGACTTTTCTGGCATTAATGGGCAGTTTCCTGCTCCCCTACCAATGCTAGAATGGATTACCCTTGTTGCTCTCGTAAACCCAACACCCAGTGCTACATCTTGCCTCTTTCTCAGGTTAAGCAAGCATTTTGCTCCTTATATGAGAGATGCTTGGGTCAGGTCTGTGCCTTTTCCACGCAAAGATCTCTTGCACTTCTAGGTTCACAGTATAATCTCCCTCTTGAATATGAGCGAGAGACATGGAGGAGAGCACAGTGTCAGCTCTTGCCTCCCACCTTCTTTTTGAGGCAGGGTCTCTCTCATTGTTTATTGCCACAGGGCTTCATACTCCAGATGAGCTGGCCTGTGAGCCTCTGACGAGTCAACCTCTGACTCTTGTCTTGCCATGTGCTTGTTCACTGTAGGAGACTGGAGCATGGCACACTTTTCTATGAATCTGTCAGGTCCTTATTTTTTACATTTCTTATGAGGATGTGACAAGTCATGATATTTATAGTTAATGTGGCTTTCTCTCACATTTAGTAAAATGCAATTATAATCTTTTCAACTTCCTGTGTTTTCAGCAGCTATCAAACTTTGTATTTTGCACGTGGCGTTTCAGACTATCATTAGAATACAGGAGTCTCATTTATCTTGATGAGTGCAGTTATAATGAATGAGTTTATCTCTTTAATATTTTATAATGCTGGATCATTTGAAAGCTCTCATTGTGCTCTAAAAATAGCTTTTAATTAGTTTTAATAAGATTATGGAAATAATCTTGTTATTTTTATATTAAAAATGACCTATATAAATACTTCATAAATACTCCAGGAAATTAGACAATGTAATCTTTCCTGTTAGAAAAGGGAAGAGAAGGGGTTGTAAAGATGGTTCAGTACTTAGGAGCACTGACTGCTCTTTCAGAGGACCTGAGTTCAATTCCCAGCATCCACACAGCAACTCACACCTTTCTGTAACTTCAGTTCCAGGGCTTCTGACATCCTCGCACAAACACACATGCAGGCAAAATACCAATGAACATAAAATAAAAATAAATCATATATTAAAAAAGAACTGGCTGTAAAGTAAAAGAAAAGGGAATGTAACTTATATTGACCCTGGATAGAAGACTGATGTCATTTCTCTGTATATGGTACTTTAATAAGTTGACATGAATATTGTATACATCTTTTCTCCAGACTGAAAGTAAACCTCTCAAAGCACCAATTACCCAAAGAATCAAAGTAAGATTTGACTAGAGGAAAGTGTTTGGTTTACTTTTTTATTTTTATTTTTCAGATAAACTATTTTTTTCATCAACTTTTTAAAGTTGTTTGACTTAAGAAAATATTCCAAAAAAAATGGGTATAAGAACATTCTATGATGTTTTGTATTAAAAAATGTAGTTATAGAGAAATTAAAAACTTAAACTTTTTAATAGACTTTACTGTTATTTTTATTTTATGTGGATGGGCATTTTTGTCTGCTTGTGTGTAAGCGCACAGTGTGCCTGCAATATCCTTAGCGGTGACAAGAGGGTGGAGGATCTCCTGGAACTGGAGAAAGAGATTTGTGAGACTTTATGTCTGTAGCTTCTGACATTACCAGGAAACACGGTCTCACAGCAAATTCCTTGATCCTTTGAACCGTACAATCTTTCTGTCACCCCTTCTGCAATGTGACCTGAGTCTTAGGTGCTGGGGCATTTTGTAGCTGGATCCCTTGGGACTGGGCTCCACGGCCGTGCACTTTGATTGGTTGTGGATTTCTGTAATGGGATCCATGTGTTGCAAAGAGAAGTTTCTTTGAAGAGGGATGAAGACTAAACTTATCTGTAGGCTTAAGGACAAATAAGCTGAACAAGGATGATGCCAAGAGATAAACTAAAGTGGGTGGGGAAAGCCCATGAGGCCCTACAGAGCTACAGGGAACTAAGGAATGCTGGGAATGGGAGAAGCAGTCTTCCCCAGGAAAGAATACACCGAGTGGCTGGCTGTCCAATACCAAATAATCATCCCTGAAAACACACACAAGTAACATTATACAGGCTGAGCAGGTTATATTTAGGAATTTATATATGCACAGATACATATATTCATGTAACAATAACTTACAAATAAAAAGATCATGAATTTTAAAGAGCAAAGAGGGGAATATGGAAAGGTTTGGGTAGAGAAAAGGGGAGGGAGAAATGTAATTATATTACAATCTCAACTAGAAAAAAAAAAACATGGGGTCAGAGGGAGAATGTTTTGCAAGAGCAGTAAGCCCTCTTAACTGCTGATCTACCTCCACAGGCCAAATCATCTTACCTTTTGGAATTAATGTATCAAATGAATAAACAAATAATGAGCTAGCAAAATCTTCTAGAATTAGCTAGTGCCCTCTATCTTAAAAGATGTTTGAGCCTCAATATTTTTAGCTATAAAACTATGTTACTGTGTCTAACATAATTATGCAGTCCATGGCTTCAATATCTGTGATTACTTCATTGGATATCTCTTTTGTTAGTGATTTGATTGAAAGTCACACTTATAGTGAATTTCTGTATAATTGCAGGTTTTATATGGGGAGAAATTAAACAGATGTGGGACGGCGGACTTCAGGATTACATCCACGACTGGTGGAATCTAATGGACTTTGTGATGAATTCCTTGTACCTGGCAACAATCTCCTTGAAGATTGTCGCATTTGTAAAGGTAATTGCTCTTTACCTTGTTGCTAAGGCATACAACTAATTCTTAAAGATTGCTATTCAGTTGCTATTAATTTTATTAAGAGAGCTTTGCGGTGTTTATCTGCTTCTTATTTTATATATGATGCTGCAGTACAGAAACAGTGCGGGTCCTATACTGCTGTTAATAAGCACTTCAAAGCTGCTCCCATAATCACATTCCTCCTAATTAATATGACTGCCTCAAAATAAAATAGCCCTTCTAACTCTAGTTCCATCTAACTCTAAAGAAATTCTTCAAACGCCACTTAAATTTTGTCAACCTAAACCGATTTTTACAAAATGTAACAAATAGGTACGTTGTTGTGGGCAAATCAAAATGTCGCTCCTTGAAAGCATTGACATGATTATTTCAATTTGAACTAACAGTTTGGTGTGATTAGCACAGAATAGAATGTCTTTGTCCTTGTCCTGTTCATCGTGACACTGTGTGAAATTTCACAAGCCCTGCGGGGTGTGTACCAGTCCTATGCACAGCTACGTAATTTACATAAAGCCTTTCGTTCCGCAATGACAACTGGGATTTTTATACTTTGAGAGACTTGTTTCAAAGTAAAGGATTATATTTTCCCTTTCCCTGCTTTTATTCTGTCACTTCCTTTTTGCCTCCTTTGAAACATGATTTGTTACAAAATGATTAGTGAATTGGTTTAAAAAAAAAAAAAGAATAGATTCTGATTGGATGCCGCATGAATAATACATGCAGTTTATCATACAATCTCAAAAAAAAATATGCACGGGAGTTCTTACGCACTTTGGGTAGTGATAAACAATGTTCTTATTCTCTGTGAATATTCCTGTATCGTAGGAGCAAAGCTGTCCAATTTGGGGGACGTTACAGTTCTTAGCTCTTGTTCAACTAAAATGTTGCCAATACTTACCAAAATACTGAAGAAACGCAATTTCTACTAGTTTCATGAAAAACAATGGTATCTTGTTGTTTGGGATTTCTTTTTATCTTTATTGACATTACACTTGTATATATTTATGGCATAATATTTTAACGTATGTCTAGAGTATGTGCTGATTAGAGCAGGGTAATTACTGTTTACATATCTTTATCATTTGTGTTTAGAACCTTTAAAGCTTTCTCTTCAGAACGATATACACACACATATATATGTATATAAACCCATTATTAATCTCCCCTATCTTCTCTTTTATATTTTCTTAATTTTAAATTTAAGGATTTGTTTGAGAATTCCATTGCCAGGTTTACATTATATTTACTCCTTTCTTGCTCTTCCAACTCATCCTGTGCCCCTGCCACTCCCTCCTTGCAAGCTCATCACCTCTTTTTGAATTACTACTGTTACATACCTCAATTGTCCTCTGCTGTTTTCTAGTCCCCTTTGATGACCTCTGGTCCCCAGTGCTCAGCTTTCAGATTGATGTTTGGCCTCTGTGCATAAGAGAGAAAATGGCATTGCGGACCTCTCTGTTTCTGGATTATTGCTCTTAGCAGAAAGTCCTGGTTCCATCATGTTTCTTTAAGGAGATGACTTCATTTCGTGGCTGATTAAGAACCTGTTTCACGTGTGATGCATTTTATCTATCCATTCTCCAATAAGTAAGTCAATAGATTGACTCTGGCATTGTCTGTTGTAGACAATGCTTCATAAGGGTACTAGTATCTCTTTAACGTTGTTTCTCACTTTGAATAGTTATTTGGGAATTTTGTACAGTGTATTTTGATTCTATTTCTCACTTCTCCTAGAGCCTGCCAGATCTGTCCCACTTCCCTATCAGCCTAACTTTGTGTCCTCTCTTCCCCCTAATATGTGCTTTCTATACACTCTTAGGTGAATGCCCTTTCCATATAACTTGGCTGACCTATCCGAGGCTACAACCTTAAAGAGAACTGGCTGTCCCTCTCCCAGTGGCTGTCAATGGCCAATAGCTCCTCAGCTAAGGATGGGACTTAATGGCCACCTCCCCTCTCCATGCTGGGGTTTGTCTGGCTTGAGTTTGCACAGGTCTTCTGCATGCTATCACAAACATGTAAGTTCATAGGTACAGATGGCCTGCTGTCTCTGGAAGGCACCCTTTCATTGTAGTCACCCACCACTATTCGCTCTTACAGTCATTCTGTGCCATCTTCCACAGTGATCCTTGAACCTTGGAGAGAAGGAAGTGGAAGAAGAGTGTGACATAGGAATTCCAATTTAGGCCAGGCATTCCTCAACCAGTCTCCCTACCTGTGGATCTCTGTGTTAATTTCTATCTACTCCAGAGGGGAACTTCTCTGATGAGAGCTGAGACGTACATTTATCTATGGGTGTAATGGTAATCTATTAGGAGTTGGTTTAACAAACATATTAGTTGGATATTCTGACACAATTTCTTCTTCTGAAAACTGCTGATCTAAATCTTTGCCATATTCTGTTTCTGGTTTTGTGAGCATCCTTAGATATTGGTCCACCTAATGGAGGTACCGGTTTACAAACCCACCAGCAGTTTCAAAAGCATTCTTTTGTCTGCATATTAATCATAGCTTGTTATCTTTTGACCTGTTTAACAATATCTGTTCTGACTGGGAGAAATGACAGATTATTTTGGTTTTGACTTACTTTTGTGTGTGTGATGATTCATGACACTGGACTTTATTTCATGTGCTCTTTGGCCATTTGTGTTTCATCATCTGAGAAATATCTGTTCAGACCACTTTAGAAATTGAATTAGTTGGTGCCTCTTGCCTAGTTTTATAGTTGAAGGAAGACACTTTAAAGATTGAACCAACGCAGAACTTTTAAAAATATAATTCCCATCAAAAACATTTCAAGCAAGATAAGCAAATTTCACTCACGTTATTATGATGGCACTTCTGATGCAGGTGTTTTTCATTTGTCAGAACCCAAGTGTGTATTGAGTTGAGTCTTTATATGGGAGAAGGAGATAGGGAGAGAAAGAGACAGAGAGAGACAGCAAGGGCGAGAGGCAAGGGCATGAATCCCCTCTAATGACAGCTGGTATTTCCTATATAGTATAGGCTCTTGTAGACCTCATCCAGCACGGACTCTGTAACCCCCCATTGTTACCACAAGCTGTTGGCCCTTTGAGGGACATTGCAGATCCCGATGACAGCACAGCTTTTGAAGCCAAGGCTGCAGACAGTGTGTCGACAGCTCATATGCTGCTTCCTGCTTGTACTGTTTGAAAACAGTCCACTTAATATCTCAAATACTCTCTTCACAACAGCAACAATAATCATCAAACTTAATAGAATGATTTAAAGATGCGAGGCGCTAATATGAAAACTAAATATTTGCTTTGACTTTGTATGGTGTCAAGTGTGGGCTGTGATAAACACCAACACAAAAGAAACTTGTGGAGGACAGGGTTTATTTTCTCTTGCAGCTGATAGCCCATCATGAATGGAACGTCAGGCAGGAACCTGGAGGCCGGAACTGAAGCGGAGATCATGGAGGAGTGCTGCTTACTGGCTTGCTCTCCAGAGTTTGCTCAGTTGTTTTTTGTTTGGTTGTTTTTTTTTTGTTTGTTTGTTTGTTTGTTTTTTGTTTTTGTTTTTTTTTTCAAACCAGGACCACCAGCACAGAGGTGGCACTGCCCACAGGGCTGTGGTCATTAATCAAGAACATGCCTTGACAGACTGGCTTCCAGGCCAATATAATAAAGGGAATTCTTCAACTGATATTCCCTACTAGCCTATTTGCAGATGACTTTCACTGTGTCAAGTTGACATAAAGTAACCAGCATGTACATACAAAGTAACAGCTTTACAAGGTGCATAGACTGAGCATAAAAACGCACAGGATGTCACTTTCCTCTTTGCATCTGAGGTTTGGTGGTATTTTCTTTCATGATTTGTTGCTTTTTATACCTCATAGGGTGTTTATTTTAAAATTTGCTTCTAAGACACAAGAGCTCATTGATCTCCAGAACACAATTTTAAATCTTGTTTTGGTTTCATTATTATTGGCTCATTCCTACTTTTAACCCATCCCGTTTCCACATGCAAAGCTTGTCTCTAATGTTTAGCTTCGATCATTTGACAGGTAGGATTAAATCTCTGTAACTTTTGGCAAGGTGACCTAAACATTTTCAACAATCAAAATTACTATGAATGCAAACAGTTGTTTTCACAGCCATGGTAGAGTTTTCACATCATTTTAATAAAGTTTTGTCTGTAGGACTTTATATTCTATCAGTTAACAGAGGACAGGGACTTCTGCCTCAGTCTTATGAGTGATGTCACACCAGAGTTAGCTCCTCAAGTAGTATTATCTGTGATCTTCTTCAGTTTTGCAGCAGGGATCTATAGACAACTAAATCTTAGCTGTTCTAGAATTACCTGCCAGGGAAGAAACTCTTATGCCTTTCTTTTGTCTTTTTTTTTTTCTTTTGTGGACTTTATTTGCATGTGTGCACAAAGGGAAAATTTTTCATCTTATAAAATACTCGTTAAAATTAGTATGTTTTCCTTCTGTAACCTCCTGTGACAAATGTGATAGTCAGATTTCATTACTATATGAAATACAGGAGACAATCAGTTTATAAAGGGGAAAGGTCTTCTTTGGTTTACGGTTTGAGGGTGGCAGTCCATGCTCACTTGGAAGGTCTGTAACATGTTAGGAAATGAGTGATGGAGCAAACTAGCCACCTATGAGTGGGAAGGAAATGATTAAGAAAAAGACCAGTTTCCTCTAATCCCCTTCAAGGGCGTCTCCCTAAATGACGCAACCACCTCTTAAGGCTTTTCTCATCTCCCATTAACACCAAGGTGGAGATCCTAGTCCAGCAAATGAGCCTCATGAGGACATGCTGGATCACACTATGGCCACAACCACTCTCATAGTGCATCCACCTAAAAGTTTTACTTGTATTGATTGGCAGTTTGGCTTTTATGAATATTCATGGACTTATAAGGGGCATGAGGACGACCCAGTATATTTTCCTCTAGTCTAGGAACTTATGATCCAATATTATGATTCGATTCATCATCTGCTCATCACACCCTGCCAAGGTCTTCATGACTTGAGTCGAACATCCTCAGGCTCTTCTTCCTGTCGTCAACCCTCAGCTATATCCAGAAGCCCACATTTCTACAGATGGCTCACCTGCCTCTTCCGTGTCGGTAAACATATCCGACTCTTCTCGTGTGATCTTAGAGACATTACACAGCACATGTCTACAAAAAAAAGGGACACTCTCTTGGAAAAATTACCCTCAGTAGAAAGGAAACCTCAGGCAAAGTTTCATCACAGTAGCAGTCTACTGAACTACAATTACCTGATATGGTGGGAAAAGGTACGTGATAGACTTAGAAAGGGAGGAGGTATTTAGAACATCCCTTGTTCTCTCCCTCACAGATTATTCTACACCATTGGGCTACCATCTTGGGCCTTTGGGCTTTGTTGTCCACTTATCTCCTTTTGAGGGAACAAAGGACAGTCTTAATTAATGTGTGTCACATAGTCGTCTGTCTCTTCGGCATGTGGTTTCTTCTTTCATCATTAATGGGTACCTTAAAGACAGAACTTAACCAACTTTAGGTATGCGTTGTAGGTGTCATAGATGAGTAACACATAAAAAGTGAAAATTACTCGAATTTACCTTAATTGTCAGGACAGGTATAAGCATTTATGGAATTGTATTTTGTTAAAAATGTAGCAAAACTGAAAACCCAGGGGAATCAAAATAACTGCATGCTTGAGCCAGGGCATTGAGTACCAGACAAATGAATGCAAGATAGAAGTTTCATCTGTGTCCTGCTATGAAATCAAATTGTCTTCTCCAGGAAAATGCAGTCATGGGGAATATTAAAACATGGCATGGCCAATTTTCCCTCTTTAAAGGTAATTTAACAAGGAGATATGTTACAAGGTAAAACAGCTAGGACATGTCACATGTTGTTGTGATGATGGAGAAAAGAGGGGAAGCTTCTGAGGTTCAGTGAGAAATCCAAGCAACTGTTATGTTTGGTACTGGACCTGTGATCCTGGCTGCACCATTCCCTCAGACCAGGGGGTATAAATGGAGGGACTGAACAGTGATTTATTCTATTTTCTGTCTATAAACTTGAGATATCCAAATGGGAAAAGTCATGCTGTCAAGAGAGTATGAAATAGGACTGGAAGGCAGGAAGTCTGGGCTAGAGATGGAGAGTTGGGGTTAGCCCTGAAAGTTGACAGTGTGGGAGATATCTGGGAGAATGGGTGGGTGCGAAGACACTGAGAAAGCAAGCTTATCATTAAAGAGCAGGAGACAGGGGAGCTTGAAGTGCTACTAATGCAACCCAGCGCAGCGGTAAAGTTTAAAAGACGAAAAATGGTTCGTTCTATTTATTTTTAACTTTTGTTTGTATATTTATTTCTTATATTAGTACTCTGTATTATTGCTATCTCCCTTCTCCCTACTCCAACTCCTCCTGTATCCCCCACTCTCTCTCATATCCATGACCTCTTCTTTGGTTATCTCTCTCTCTCTCTTTCTCTCTCTCACACACATGCCCACACACTCACACACACTTACATACATACCCTGCTGAGTCCATTG